AAATGATTTTTCCACTTGTTAACATACAGGCGGCAAGGCTACTCCAAGAGGAAATAATTATTTGTCATGAGGAAACTAGCTCAGAGAGCTCAAACGTTGATAAATGCTATGTGGATGTTGTTATTAGTTCAATCCCAAAACAATGTCTTACACAAACACTGCAAGCGAACACAGAGTGAGATCTCTTATCTATGTAATGTGTACAGTATGTGACAATACACATTGTGTTGATTTTGCTATACTATGTTTAGTAGCCAGTATGTACGTCTATATATACGTACTTGCGTAGTACAGCAAAAGTAATAGATTTGTGAATGCAACCATTGCCACAGGCTGGTGTTGATTTCCTGACGCTTGGATCCAAACATGCAGTTCATCCCAGTCTTTACCAGTTCTTGCCTTCTAACACAATGTGCACTTCTGTCTCTGAGCTGGAGGCACTCTACAACAGCAAAGTAAGGTCTACTCTTGTCCACATCTTCATCATGTGGGAAAATTCTTTGATGACACAGCTTCCACATCAATCAATGATACATTTCTCAAATACAAACACACTGTCTCTGCTTAGTTCCTGACCCTGTGGGATTAGCATAGTAGCTATGTTCACTATTGGTAGGCTTTATTAACTGTGATGCCTCTAGAGAAGGAATGCAGTATGCTCTGCTGATGAGAGCTGACAACATTTTGAAGTGAAGGGGAAGGAATGTTCTGTGCACAAGTGTGTCTTCAGTATCTGATCACTAGTGTTGTGTAGGTGACATCTCACTTTCATTGTCCCTATATTGAGGTGTGTATATTATAGCACTTATCTGATCCCAGCATGTAGTTGCCACTATGAGTAAACCATGCCATGAGAATGGTGCACTAGCCTTGCATTCGTACCACTTTTAAGGGAAGGAATGTTTTGTGCATAATAAGAGTGTCTTCAGTATGTGATACCGAGTTGTGTGTGTTACAATTTTCATTGTTGCTGTATGCACTTTTATCCCATGCCAGTCTGTAGTGGCCACTACCTGTCTTGGAGTGAACCACGCCGTATTCTCTCGGAGAACCTTTGACTACTGCATCGTGGACGAGGCGTCTCAGCTGACACTACCAGTCAGCCTCGGTCCTCTGCGGTGTGCGGCAGTGTTTGTGCTGGTCGGGGACCACTACCAGCTACCACCTCTGGTCAGAGACTCTGAGGCCAGGTGAGTCTGTAGTTGCATATAATCACAAAATCCAAGGCATTTAATCTGCTCGTGACCATTGATTATGGTCATAATCTTAAGTAACCCTCGGCGCGCATGCGCAGTCTGTCTGTCTGTTACCATGTTTTCTGCGACTACGCGCAACGGGACAACAAAAGAGCGATACCAAAAGGTTCAGCGCTACACTGGCTTTGATTTTAAATTTGGCGAATTTCGTAAATGTACTGTGTTCGAGAGTTATGGCGTGAAAACCAACAAGTGAACAAGCCAATATTCTAACCGGGACCGCTTAATACATACATACCGTGTGGAGTATATATGTCACTTTAATTGTTTTTGTTAAAGTGTGGAGTAACCGGAGATCAGGTGGGTGTGGTCACACCTTACAGACATCAACAGACCAAAATCAAGGAGGCTCTAATCAACTTACCTCTGACTCAGTGTTAGTGTATGTGTGTCTTTGTGGATGTTTTGTGTTTCAGACTGCATGTTTATTGATGAGCGATGCGAGCCTATATACCTAGTCGTTAAAACAGAGGAGTTTTTTCTAATTGAAGGGCTGAGAACCAGAGTGGTCTATCCCAAATTTAAGTATGACAAATTGCCTAAACAGTGCAAAAAGTATGGGTATAATTATAGGGATGTTTAAGTTTGCTGCCTCCTTCCAAAACACATTCTAATGGTAATTTCATGTCAAGGGGTGTTCAGTTAGACCATTGTGGTTCTCTGCCCTTCAATTATACATGACTCTGTCGGGCACTGAACATACCGTAATCAGCGCGAAATATTCAACTGCTCATGTTCCCTCGCCAACAATGCATTGCATACCTCTAGTGATATGCCTTTTCAATTTGTTAATCCAGGCATGACTGCTAGTGTTGCTACATCAGCAGAGAACCATGTGGAGGTGAACACTGTTGATCGATACCAGGGGAGAGACAAGGACTGCATCATTATATCCTATGTCAGGAATAACCCAAACAAGAATGTGAGTGCATATATACACAATCTTATAATGTAAAATTGGTAGGAAAATTATGGTCTACCATATTATGTAGCATACCTTAGCAAGATGGACATGCTCACTGTTCTCATAAAACTAAAAGAGTCCATGAACCGCTAGTGGCTGAACATGACAGGCTTTTAGTGCACTGTAGAAAGTAAAGGGGGGAGTGCATAAATGTGTTTGTGCCACCCGCTCCTCTCCCAGTTCAGGGAGTGCCCCCTCCCTCCCCTACCACCCGCTCTAGACATCAAAACTGAAGTAATTTGTGGGGAGAATTGATTTGCCTTTTCTCGGTGAATTTTTCTGAGATGATGTAAAACTGTGCCATCCGTATGCTGTCTTGATTTGTAGTTAGACAGAGAGAGTGGAGAATCCCATACATTAGCTATAGTTTGTGATTCAAAGTGTACGTTATAAAGTCAGTGTCACGCCTCCTCTGCTATGAACCTAGCAGCGAGATGCTCATACAGCCAGTGTTTACATCATCACCTGACTTCCATGTTTTTTCCCTTCCTCTTCACTAATTTCCTCCACCTTATAACCTTCACGACAAACTATTTCACAGGTTAATGCAAGTGCCTGAGTATTTCCTGCGATTAGCCATGCACACCTGCCAATGATGTTAGCAAGAGATTTTAGTTTCCTGGTGGTAGCTATGTTTCACCTCCTACCCAGGTTGGTAATCTGCTGTGTGACTGGAGGAGGGTGAATGTAGCTCTGACCAGAGCCAGACACAAGATGGTGATGGTTGGTTCTCTGTCAACCCTCTCTTCCTCCCCGCCCCTTCTCTCCCTCATTCATCTCCTCACTGACAAACACTGGACCACCGATATTATTGACTGAGACTATCTTCCTTATTATTGTTGAAAACGACACTTGTGAGATTTGACGGCTATTATATATTATAAGTGGTGACCTCTTTGAAAATAATTCTGATTCATGAATGTAATTTCCAGTTTTCCTGGCACATGGCGGGAAGTCGGGTGCAGCATTTTGCTCTCTGTATATTCTTACACTATCATGGATTTGCACCTGTGCATTTGTTATGTAGCTACTATACACATCACACTAATATTCCTAGATAGGCAGAGGATTCTTGTACATGATGGAGAATAATTATAATATGTCGGTGGGTGGAAAAAAATATGGGAGACAATCCCCAGAGCATACTCTATTTTCCCTCTTATGATACGTTGATGGTACATAGGCTAACATAGCTATTATAATTATATTGTGTAATAAAGTGTCATTAATTGAGGGAGGTGTGCACTGTAGATATCAAGCAATCAGCAAAAGATTTGAGCAATTCTTTATTGCGCGAAATATTAATCAATGTTCTACCACAACCTTTTTTAGTCTTTCTACTCCCCATTATTCGTAGCTCACACAAGCACTGGACCACCGATATTGTCTGAGACATAGACAATGCAGGGCCATTTTTCCTTGTTATAAATATTAAGTAGAGTAAGGTGAGTCAGTCTCACCAAGTTTTGAGGTTTTTGCACATGGATCATGACCCGCGCTCTATAAATAATGAAACTTCTACCGATGTTCAGTTATTGGCACAGCAATGTATATAGCTACAGGTGTTCTTACAGCAATAGCTAAATTTAACCTACTTTCTAGATAGTAAACTAAGTGGGGTTCTGTCTTTTGTTAGGTGTATTATTATTCAAATTTCCGACATTTGGCCAGGACCAGAGGGGCAAGGAGTGTCCATTCGTAGACACCAAAACAGATCCAAACAGTGGCCATCTTCACCCACACTGAGGCCCAGCTGTTCTGGAAGTGGTCAGAATCAACCTCACCAGGACTGCAGGAGAGAGAAAGGCGTGTTGGTTATCAAGAACAAATACAGCTTATAACTCACTAAGCCCAGTTGGTAAGGTGCATCATAAGATAGAGAACAGAGATTAGCATAAGGAAGTGGAAGACGGAATAGATATAGGCAACTTTCTTCTCTTCATCGTTAATATATTTTGGCTTCCACCATGGCACTGGTGTGCCATCACTCTCTCCACTCGTATTAGTTGGTGTGCCATCGCTCCCTCCACTCGTATTAGTTGGTGTGCCATCACTCTCTCCACTCGTATTAGTTGGTGTGCCATCACTCTCTCCACTTGGCTAGGCATAAAGAATGATAGGGGTGAGAATGGTCCCCATGAAAAAATGATAAAACACACAAAAAATACACCATAATGAGGAGTGAGGACTCACCTTCACCTCGTTCTTGCTGATTCCTATAAACCTTCTGAGGTTTTCTGTGCTAGACAGATAAAAACTGGAGAGCAATAAAAGAAAGTGTGTGAATGTGAGAAGTCATTTACCTCATGTATGCAATAGAGATGAGGAGGACAACAATCCCAATAATAGATGCTGCTAACGCGTTGCCATTGTTAGCAAACACAGCATAGGAGCTGCCGTTGATGTGACAGTTCCTATCTGGATTATAAAATAATGGTGTTGATGTATAATAGTAGCAGGGGAGAGAGGGAGGGAGATAACCTGGACCATAGGGTTCACCAGAGATGGCAGACCAGGTTTGGTAGGTACAGTAGCCAGAGATAAGTGCAGCTTGGAACCATCCTGACTTGGGCTGGACTATAGGAAAAAATTGTGCTTAAATTGTTAAGCCTAGCTAAGTTTTTACAGTTAAACCCCTTTGTATACCCACATCTCTGCTCGTTATTATGAACACCTAGCCTCACACGTTTATTTATGAGGATACACACAAGACAACCCACCTTTTTGGATCCAGGGTAGTATGGCGGTAATGGTCACAGTCACACTAAGGACCAGTGTGCTGGTAATAAAAAATATGTTCAAAGAACAACTCTCCAACTGCAGCAGAGTTTACCAAAGAAAAATATTTTGCATACGCTGAGCAGAGATGGCTGCTTACCTTAGTGAAGTAGGTATACATCAGTGCAATACCAATCAGAGACACAAGATAAAAGGGACAGTGACCACTGCCATAGCTGTCAACGAAAGAGTGTGACAATGGATTTAGAAAATTATATCAAGGTGTCACTGGTGATGAGCCCAGACCCCCTATAGACTATAGCTAGATTACTAGTATATAGGCGAATGCATTTTTGGCAAGCGAGAGCAAGCCCGAAGAATGCCCTCATTGCCAGTAAGTCGTACTCACCATCGTTGTTCTCGGTGATGTGTGCCATAGAATAGCTATAAAGCTGTCGGGACACTCCACATGCACGTTCGGGTATAGCTATGTGGCAGCATTGTTATAGGCGTCTCCCACTCACCGATTATTATAAGCTATATTAAAGACCCTTCCCTTACTCATTTTAGAGCGTCGGTAGTAAGGGATGGCGAGGGTCAAATCTCACGTGTTCCGCGTACAAAAAACCTCCAAAACTAGGCAGGGAACACATAGCTAGCCCTCAAAACACACAAGCAATAACTCACAGGTCATTATCTAGTTATCCATGTTCCAAACAAGCGTCTTCAGGACTCCGCGCGAGAATCTGCTATAGCTACACCACGCAATTTCGCATTTCATATCAACCTCTTCTTCTTCAGCGCCTTACTGGAACAGTTTGGTGCTCTTCACAAAACATCTCGTAGCTAGACGGAGGTGTGCATCGTATGCAAGCGAACATTATTCTCCAACCACACAGACCTACGGCAGATCGTGGAGCTCTCTGCGGTGCACGCCGAACGACGCCATTTTACTGCCAACTCAGCATGCGCAGGAAGGGCGTCGTCCCGGCCCTTTTTACGGGGACATGCTGCGGTCTACGCGGTTGATGCACAGTAGTACTGTACGATCTATACAGAGGGCTGCCTTGCTTTAAAAAGTCTATTCGCATGTAGCTAAACAGCGACCGATTTCTAAATTTCAAAGCGCAGCGTGGTTGTAGTTGACTGTAGGTTCTATTTATCTGCTTTGGGAGCGCGTCCAACGCCCACTTACGTACTTAGCTGTATGTCACATAAGCAAACTACGCGATGTTCCTTTGACCACGAAAATGCAATCACGCGGGTCCCAATGTGCGCGCTTAGTGTGCGCGCGTAGCGCAGCGCGAGCAAGAACCCTCTCTCTACTGCGGGAGCCCAGGCCAAGGAAAAGGCAAGAATGAGAAGTTTGTTGTTTGAATAAACCGTCTTTACTAGAAAAACTCACGGAACCACACGTGGAACGTTTTCAACGCGGCATATATAGCGTATATTATACATCCACCGGCTACAAATATTCGCGATATTTCAATTATGACGGAACCTTGCGCAAACAGTTTTTGAGTAGTGCACTTCCGGCGGCAAGGTGAACGCGAACAGACTTTAAGTTTAATGGTAATCCTCTCTACAACATGTGCACAAGTAAAATAATAATGGAAACAAGTGGAAAAATCATTCTTCAAAGTGAAAGGGGGATATAGGGATGGCTCGAAGCACCAAAAAGGAAGGAACAAGGGGTAATTATACAGCAAAGATGCACAACACTACATGATACCATCCCTATATTTTTGTCCTTATACAGACTCATAGCAAAATATTACCAAACAAAAGATATAGGGATGGTATCATGTATCTTGCTCCTTCCTTTTTGGTGCTTAGAGCCCTCCCTATATCCCTCTTTATTTGGAAGAAATGATTTTTCCACTTGTTATTAGATACTCACTCAAGGACCACAAATTGCTTCCTGATTCTTCTTTTTTGTCCAGCCTACACACAGTGGCAGTAAATAATTATATTATATATATGTCATGGTCATGAATCATCACTGCAGACATCAAAGCAAAAAGATTGATATTCATTTGGCCTGGCTTGTTTTTCACTTGCACTTTACATGATTGCATTTGAATGGAAGCTGAATGAAAAACTTACAAAAACGCGGCAATTCGGTGTGCCAGATCCACCAGGAGAATCACCTGAATGATAATGAACAAGAAAGAGCCTATCAGTCCAAAAGCCATTGCCACTGCAAGAGAAAAGCAAACCAAGCATGACTCTGACTGACGTAAACTTTCCTTTACCACCCACTTTTGGAGAAGACAAGATTTTGTCCATCGGGGATGAAGAATAATGAAACAATGACGACAATGACTACAATCCACTTGATCACCCACAACCTATACAAAAAGTCTCTTGAAACAATGAGACACCTTTTGCTCGTGCAAATGGCTAACCCGTTCTGGATGTGGAATAGTAAAGATTTAAAACAATATGGCACCATCAAAAGCATCATGATGAAGAAGAATAGAGCTACACCCATGCAAACACGGTAGACTGCAAGGTAGCCAATGAACTGGTCACAGTTTAGAAGAGAGTCCACTGAGGTCGTCTCCGTAGGAAAGGTCACGACATTAGACGGCACCCTCACTGACCGGTTGTAGTTGACACATAAGACTTTCTACAAAAGACGTCATTATATATACCCTTTCTGTTCCCTGTTCTATACTTGGTCTTACCGCATCTTCCTGCATGGATCTCTGGACGCCGGGAGACAGAAGGATGGCGGAGACGATTACAATGGCAACGAGGAAGCAGAGGTAGTGAAGGCGTGTGAGTACAGAGCTCTTAGCTTCCCCCCGACAGCCGCCACAGCACAGTCCGCACGGGACGGACCCAATAAAACAGCAAAGTAGTTTCAGCAAACATGTTCCCGTTATAGTGCTGCAGCATGAAACACCCTCTCCAACGCAGCAACAGAAATTAGCTACTCTTTTGCAGCATGCCCTTCCCCTTTTTACACATCCTCGGCAGCAGCTGATAATGCAAGACATCAAAAACCTACGCTCTTGAACTACCTTTAGTTTGTAATTTTTAGCGAGATCGTTGCCTCAATCGCGCACTATGATTATGTTATTATGCATTCGCGCGCGCCCTCGGCCCGTCGTAGAACGCGTAAGAGTCCATAGGAGCGCTCCTTTGTTTGCTGCTTGATATTCTCCCCCACTGGCATATATAGGAACAGGCGAAGTGGCTTTAAAGGAACGCACGCAAACTGTGCGCTGCGTTTTTGTTAAGTGTCTTAGCTACAACATAATTTTTGTTGTTGCTGTGTGCTGGGAAACACAAAATTGCACACAATTTCCCTCTAGAGTAAAAGGCACTGTGGGGTTCACCCATTGATAGCTTATGCAAACTTGCGGTTGTTTACATAGTATTATACAACACCTGAGAATGCGTTCAGTTTCTTCATGCACACGATATGTAAAGAAATGCCTGGTGGCCCATATCTTGGTGTGACTGCTTACGAGATTAGGAATGGGTAGTCTTACAACAATTCCCCTGAAAAGTCCACCCCCAGCATGAGAGTTGCCTAGAAACTGCAACTTTCATGTCTTATTGCGTTTCATAAAAGGGCAAGTAGCTAGCTACAAGGCTGAGATAAATCGTCACTGTAAAAGAGACGTAAAGATGTTTCTCTTTTTATTGATGAGTGATGGATGCCTAATTCATATTACTAGTGCTGTTAATTAAGATGAGAATCACTGGCTATTAAAAATCAAAACTGTACGCATTATCTCATTGAGCAAAATATAATTCATGTTGACTTCAGAATAGATATAACCGGCAAAACTTTACTATGTCCTCATTGGTACAATGAGAATACAAAAGGCACTTACAAGAAAGCAAATGCCTTATATACGTGGAGTGGTAGACATCGAGAACATGCCAGGGCAGACGTGCAACACCTCTAGTTGATTTGGAACGACTATATAGCAATGGCTCTTTCTCACGATAATGTTAATTTGCTGGTAATGCTCTTTCTCATGTTAATGTTAAGTGCCCCATAGTTACTGACAGTACAGGCCCATATGTATAATATACTCATGAGTCAAAAAGCACAATACCTGGTTTCGGCGTAGCTATATACACATAGCTAGGTTTGCACAAGTACCTACAACATGCATGTTTGAAACGGGATGTTTTCTTCACTTTTTGTGTAGGACACTTTCCTTATGAACAGTGTACTAAGGAAAAAGTTGAGTGTTTTGCACGGGTGCATTTCTCGTGTACTGATCTGAAAGTGTTTTTAGCCTATAACCATAACTTTCATGTTCCTCAGAAAACAGACGCATTACAAACCTTTAACCTAGAGGAAACACACCTTGTCCATGCTACATTGGTACTGTATACTTTATAACCAAGAAGTCCTTCTTTGTCTCGCCACATTCTTTTGACGGCAAAATACAAATGTGAGAAACCAATTTATGCAATAATGAGTCAGAATAGATGATATCTATAGTGATTATTTTCAAACAAGACTTAGTTTGTTGGGAATAATTGACCTTCAGCACACAAGAAAACTCTCAAAATACAATCTTCTTATATGATGTTGTACATTGACAAGGGCCTTTGCCTTGATAAAAATCTCTGAAAACACCTGCTACATTTCTGCCCCAGGCACTTTTGCAAGGGTCTGAGAAGTTTCTTCTTGATACAAACCGAGTAGCCCATGAGCAATATAATATAGAGGATGGGTAAACTCAGGGCTATAACGCGAAAAGTGTTGTCGATTTTTTTTGATATGGAGTTACTGTCCGGTAAAGTGTGTCCAATCAAGATAAATACGACAAAAGATAGCATCATAAGAACCAAAAGGTCCAGAAGGTAGTGTATGAATGTTTTTTGTGGCCGAAAGACAGCTATACTAAAGCCAAGTGTTGTAATTGTGGCTGCAAAAATCATCCAAAAGAAGGGAGAATTCAGCAGTAGAAAACCAGCTACTATTATGAACCGGGCACAAAAAAACTATGCCAGAAAAGAATCGCAAGTCTTTCGTATTGTTAGTTCCATCCTTGTAGTTTCCTTGAAAGACATCCATGAATGTCCTCAGAGTCACAAAATTGCACCTTATGCTATTCAGGAATTGCTGGAAGAAATGACAAGGGTAAAGAAAGAGAAGCAGGACAGGGAAAAGTGTAAAGAATGTTAGAAGTAGTAGAGCAAGAACTGCATATGGAAGATGTTGTTTGCCAAAGTACTCCACGTCTCCAGCCAAGTACAGGTAATATGTGTTGCTCTTTGTTCCATTGACAAAGTAAAGAGTAGTAGGTGTTAACAGATCAATACTAACACTCTGTATCTTCATGGCTGACAGGAAGTACAGCGTAGCAAACGATTCAATGAGAGATGTTTGAATGTTAAGATTGCGTAAGAACGGTGTAAGAACTGCTGTGAATGGCCTCCAAATTTTGACTAATAGCATTACACCCTTACTGTACATTTTGACAAGTAGGAACACCACAAGCACCAGAAACAGGGGATATAGTCCAATCAAATAATTGAGAGCAAGAGCCTCTACAATTGTCATGTGGGGATTGAGGCAGAATGGCTCGTATTCTTCACTGAAAAAATCCAGATTCCAAATGCTCACCAAACCTAGATACACCCTTGATAAGAGAATCGAAGTTTTTCCATTAAACTGAATGATTGAAGGCATTGCTATTAACTATGAGTCTCACGAACGTATGAGAAGTGATAATTTCACAAGCAAACACGAACCCATGCAGGTAGGGTGAGGTTGCACTGATGTGGAAGAGACATATGAAGAGGCAGAACAGTGTGAGTGGGCCAAAGGCTACTCCAATGTATTTGAGCCAGTTGAGATGGTAGTCAGTGCAGTTGACACATCTGAGGGAGTATGAGTAAACCGGTGGGGCAAACCCCTTCACACACCTTCCACAGAGCTGACCCTCTCTGTTCAAACCTCCACACATGTACTCATTCAGTTTGGAGATATTACAAGGAAGAGGAGTGGAGGATCTAGAAAATGATTGATGAAAGACAGAAGTGAGACAACCTCCCATCTTGCTAGTTTCATTCTCGTCCGTGGTCATGCAGTAGAATTTCTCTAGCCAAGGTTGTCCTGTCTTGCGTCGAAAAGTTACGGCTTTAAGAACATTTCTTCCTTTTGTGCAACTTCCTTCACTCCAATGGTACCAAGGAGGACACGGTGATCTCTCCTTAGTCCCATTTTGAATAACATAGAAGTCATGTCCACTTGATGTGAGGTAGTTCCCGCCTTTAGGAATTCGTAACAAGTATCGGGTACAATTATCATTCTCAATAGCCCTAGATGCACCTTCCTCTATGGCTTTTCCCACGATAAAACACCCGTGCAAGAGCAATACTGATAGTAGCATTATTGAAGAAACTTGTTGTGCTCTTGCTTTCGAATTTCCCCCAATTTATAGCCTTAGTTTCACTCAAGAAAAACTTTCACTTTTAGCTTGGCTAAACCTAGCAGCTATCTAGCACCGAAAAGGATGTTTATGTTACAACATGATAAACGAAAAGGGACATCGAAAAACACTTTACCACCTACTTCCCATTCAAATGAAAAGCACTAAAGTGCAAACCCTCGGCGAACTGCGCATGCGCGGTAGCACTAATTGATGGGCTGGGCTTTGTATATCTTTACCCGTGGCATCCCGCTAGTAGCTCGTGGAGAGTCTGACACAAGCTAGGTATAGTAGATAGCATGCGGGTGTCGATACACGCCCTTCGTTGTGACTTCTTGTGCTTGCAAGATACACAGAGCGAGCGGACGCGGTCGAGGTAAGCCTGCGCTAATTTGCATATTGGCTTGTTCACTTGCTTTTCACGCCATAACTTTTGAACGCAGTTGTTATAGCTACGAAAATCGCCTTTTTTAAAATGAAGCCAGTGTAGCACTGAACCCGATCATATCGCTATTTACCGGATTTCGTGCGCGCGGTGGCAGAAAACGTGGTAACAGACAGACTGACAGACTGACACGGAAAAACTACCGTACCCCTCGCTGCGCATGCGCGCCGAGGGTTAATTACTAGAGGATCGACATTGTCAAATGTCATATCTTTGGCAAGTTAACTTATTGCACATTCCATGTTGTGACTTCCTGTGTGTCTAAGTGACTTAGCCCAATTAACATTCCTTTGCCACATGCACATACTTAACCTCCTTTTTTCAAGGCGAAACATAGCTAGACTTACAGATGTCTCTGTCCTAATTATGTAGGCGGCGAGGTTGGTCTATTGGCGAGGGTTCTGTTTACCTACGACGCCCACAACTCCCAACCTTTGCCCTGACGATGGAAGTGAAGGTTCTGCTACTTTTGACGCTTCTAGCGGGTAGAGGGAGTTCGTTACGGCTGTATGCGTACCCGATGGAGCCGTCTGAAAATCCGGACTTCTCCCGCTACCCTGTCGTCCACCCGGGAAGGTCGGTTTTCGATCATGCACCAGAGTTCGCCACATTGCGGGACCTTGAATCAAGAGACGGGCAACTCGTCGACTACGAGCTCCTCCTGCAGCAATTCTGCCTCAACTCTACTACAACACTTGGCCGCCTGGTATGGCCGGGAGATGCTTCCCTACTCTTCGCTTCAAACTACCGCGACTTTATAGACTTTGTAGATAGCAAGGGGCTCTACATTACTAGCATTCACGGGTTTACCCCAGTGGGACAGGGTTTCCAACCTCCACTCGAGGTTTTGGATTACCTCAGCGATAAGCTTGGTCCTCGATGGTTTGGGATGTCTGCAGGAGAACAGGACGGCCACTACTTTGGAGCACTGGTGTGGGAGGAAGTCCCTGAGAATGAGGATCGTCAGCAACAATATCTCCACTTCAGGAACTACTTTCGGGGATTGGAAGAAGTGTTGGGCCCACGAATGACCACGCTAATGAGCAGCGTGTTTCCCCACTATGAATTGAAGTCTGGTCACTATACCATGGCTGGGGCAGAGACCTCCCAGCACGGTCCCAATGCCCAGCTGAGGTACTCCTT